GGGGGGGGGGGGGTGTTCATGGACTCGCAATGCGAATTGTCCTCATGCAAACATGCCTTGGATCCCTACATCCCTACCGGACGAAGCGACGTACATATGCCGGCATGCAATAGACATGCCGAATTTGTCGGCCCCATCGTCATGCAACTTTTGAAAATAAAGGTGCTTCAAGCACCAGACTGACCAGAAGGGGTAGCGGGGGCCCTCTGGAAGATCATCTGGCTAGCCTCGTCTACTTCGGAGGCCGAGATGGGCTGGCGGAGTTGCTGCTCCGCGTCTGACGCATTGTTGTTGCTGGTTGGCTGCTCCTGGTACCTCGTTGTCAGTGCCGCGGCAGCCTCCTGTTGCGATGAGAGACACACGGCATTTGATGGACGAGTCAAGCGCCAAACATTGCATCACCATGCATAGGCTTGCTGGCCTTCGATTCGATGCGTGGACCACGGGCTAGGGAAGGGGGTATACTCATTGCTCATAGTCATGAATGCCGTAGTCGTTAGACCATTGACTTCGCATCCCTATAAAGCCGGGACGGAGCACGCCGAGTTCTGCTTACTTCCTTGCGTACGGATGACAGCTGCGAATGACTCAACTTACTTTCTGGTGTTTTGATTTTCAGAGACAGTTATAAGCACTGGGTAACTGCCTCGAGGGTGCTTCACCATTTTAACGCAACGTGATGTGATCATCCCCCTTGCGCGGAGTGAGACTTCTCCACCCCGCACAACATGATCCACTCGACCACCATTATGGTTACCGCCAAAAAAAAAAACAGAGGTAAATAAAAAAACGGTAACCTGGTTGCCGAGTTCACGAAGTGAATTGGCTTGTTTCACAACGTCGTTGCCAAGCGACGAAAACCCAACCCCGATGGCAAACACCGATGGGGGGGCATGTTTTACAATGTCATTGCCAAGCGACGAAAACCCAAACCCGATGGCAAACACCGAGAGGGGGTGTGTGTGCTCATAGTCGTGCATGCCAGTCGTTAGACCATTGACCTCGCATCCCTACAAAGCCGGGACGGAGCACACCGGGTTCCCACCGGACCAGGCTTTCACATCACCAAGCGCGAAACGCCGTGAGATATTGGGCGAGTCGCATGAAGGACGCGCTGCATCCTGCTGAGGGTGTTCGGCATCTTGTGCTTACTTCCTTGCGTACGGATGACAGCTGCGTATGACTTAGTTTATTTTCTGGTGCTTTCACTTCCAGGACAGTTGTAAGCACTGGGTGTAATTGCCTCGAGGGTGCTTCACCATTTTAACACAACGTGGTGCGATCATCCCCCTTGCGCGGAGCGAGGGTTTTCCACCCCGCACAACATGATCTACTCGACCACCATTATGGTTTCCGCCCCAAAAAAAAACAGAGGTAAAGAAGAAAACGGTAACCTGGTTGCCGAGTTCACGAAGTGAATTGGCTTGTTTTACAACGTCGTTGCCAAGCGACGAAAACCCAACCCCGA